AATATAATTGACAGCACCCTCTTGTAGTGGATAAAAGTTGTATAGACAGCAGATATGATGCGTTGTTATTAGTTCTTGTGTTCCAAACTAGATATCGCTATTTATATTATAATTTGCAATTTCTCTACTTTCCACTAGATGGCGTTTTTCGTACAATCTTTTTATATGTGAAAACGGCGGGTATATATTATATAGATTTGAAATGTACTGGTTTTAACATTATATGGAAATAAAGTTTTATGATCACTAAATTGTTTTAGCTCATACACTGTTTATTTGCGTGTAATTAGGCTCACTTATATCTTTTTATCACTGTCACCTATGTTTTGCATAGTATTTATTTAGTTTACACAAATAATTGTACACAAGTGTAATGTCTTATGGAATTTTACTATGGGGTAATGTGACTGATATTGTAGCTATATTTATTTTGCAAAAGAGAGCGGTACGGTACTGTGTACGGTACTACACTTTCACAGAATGTGTAGTACCACCCACCACCCTGTGTTTTGTTTCAATATCCTCCTACCACAAGCATTATCAGTTTACTGAGAGTGATAAGAGAAGTATTTGTAATGTTCTTAGTGATGATAGTAGTTTGAAGTTAATGTAGGTAATGTAGTTGATGGATGTAGGTGGCTTGGACCCGTAGGAGTTTTTTTCTGCCTAGATAACATCCCCTTACCATTTTCTGGCTCCAAGCAGCAGTATGTCACCCAATCTGAAAGACATCGAGAGCCAGGCTGTGATGCATTACATCTTAGTCCGCAGAGGTAACATTGCATGTGTAGCCATTGCTTGAAGTTCGTTGCAAGTGCCCCTGGTGCCCATTAGTCACTTACCATCAAGTAGATGGAAAGTTTATTTGTCACTTCAGTATTATAAAAAATGATATTGACAAAGTAAAATGTGAAAGCCAATAGATTTTATTACAAATTTATATATATAAGTAGTATTCCATATTTGTGAAGATTTTTTATATTTTCAGTTGGATGAGAATGAGGGGCCCATAATTGTCTGTTTCACCTGTCATGCAAGACTCATTCGTTGCAGACGATTACAACAACAGGCTATAGACTCAAATGTGGTTTTGGAGCAGTTGCTTTCAGGAGGATCCATGGTATTATCCATTCCATCCATTAAAACCTATAAAAGTCCACTGCTGAACATAGGTCTCACTCATAGATTGTTTCATAGAAGGGATTTTGCCAAATTTGCCACACTTGGCAAGTTGGCAACCATAGTTTATATTAGTTGGGAGTCATTATCAGGAAGATGCTGCCCCCTCAACTCCTGTTTCTGTTTCCTTCTGTTGCCTCTTACGACACCCATCCCGTGGATAGGTATATAGGATAGTGGATATTCTTACATTGTCACTGCAGCATCCACTTTTCTATGCTGCTTCCCATTGCCATATGGGCGAATGTTTCTAGTGCAAAGTTAAGTTTGTCCTTCAATCCAACTTTTTTGTTAGAGCAATAGTACTTATTTTTACAAAATTAATTATCAAACTGAAACAACTTTACACTTATATATTACCCTATTGTTCTTCTACTTCTAATGGACCGAGTGACGTCATCCAAGATGCCACCAAGGCGGCAACCAAAGTGACTGCTGTTTGAATTGCTTCTTAGTTATTGGAAATTAATATTTTATTTCATGTCACTAAAGAGGCATAAAAAGTTAAAGTGATTTTTTTCGTGTGATGGAAGTCATGATAAATAGATTTATACAATGAAACAATCATTTTATTCCCTATTATTATATTTTAAAGCATTTCAAACTTCAACAACATTATCGATACTTTGGTATCGAAAGGGTAACATTCCTAAAACGATCTTATATTTTAAGCGTCACCTACTGGGGAATAGCTAAAATGTTGTCTTAGCAAATAATAGCGTAGTTTTGCTATTTTTAGCTAGAGGGCGTCACACACGGACGAGCTTAAAGTTTTTGTATATAAATTTTCCCAATGCCCGCTCTATAGTATATATATATTTTAAATCTCTTTGATGAAGCTATTCCAACATGAATCAAATACAAAGAGGATACGTTCTAATTAAATTTCCCTATGTAACAACGCGTGACAATTTGCGGGGTGAGGGGATGCAAAGCCCCGCCCACTTTACACTATCTACATCTACCGATAGTATAACTATATAGTAAAACTACTCGAATCGTTTCATATCCATGGCACCAAAAGTTAATGATTTCAATTTCTTGTAAGGCGATTATTTTAGCAGTATATTCACTACAATTTTAAAAACATTTTTTAGCACATCTAGCAAAGTATCCACTAACATAATCTAATGCCCCCTTTATATATGGAGCAGTGTTCTCTTTAATATCAATTATATCTACATCCGGGATTGTTTCAAGGTCACAGGTTGCAGCAGCTTTACAGTTATCTGTGATGATAACAGATTCTAAAGCCTTACAATAATCTTTTTCACAATTAGCTCCCGAGGCATGGACACTGGACATATTGTTAACTAGCTTTTTACCCGCGGCTTCGCTCGTGTGTGCTTGAATTTAGGAACATCATTAAATGCTGTTCCGTGCCAAATTTAGAAAAATTCGATCACTTTTAGTCACCTCGATGTCTATGTCTCTATGTCTGTCAAAGATTTTTTTTCATTCTAAAATACTAGACGTATATGATTGGTAAAATGCTACAGAATCACGTGAATATATACATATGTCTAGAAACGCCTACTATTTTTTATATCGGGCGTGTCTTCCAATTCCGATGTATGTATAAGAAAGGTAAATAGTCTTGAAATCAAAATGTATTATTATTATTTACATTTTACTCTACAAATTATTCATAGTTTTTTAAAGTAACTAACTAATTAACTTTAATTTAGTTTTAACAAAGTAATATATTATTTATTTGAGACATTCATATCATTGGTCCTATTTAATATTGATTGGCACGATAAAATAGATGTAGATTTTTTTTACTTGGAGTAGACTTGAAAACATCATAAATACAGTTCTATAATAATGAATACTGCACATGGATTAAAACTAATGTTACGGGTTTTTTACGCATCTTGGATGAAAGTTCCGAGTACAAGAACATATCGTTGATGTGAAGCACCGAAGCTCCGGGAAGTCTAAAGTATGTCAACATGTTTAGGATCGTCCCAACCATTATATCGGATCTGATAGACAACAAATCCTTGCAATAGAACACCGAATCCTACTAATGATGATTCGCGAGGCTATTGAAATTAAAAATATCCTAATTTTAATAGGGAATATGGTTGCGTGCTACCATCAGCTAAGGACCCCATAATTAATAAACAGTTTAACAGTGGTAGAGCTAAGCGGTAGCTTTTGCTGTCGCACGGATGGGCCAGCTCGAACCGGGGTGGTACCACGACCTCACAGAATACCAGCGTGAAGTAGAGGTTTACCTCTGCGTTGCGCTTGGTGAGTGCAGTTGGCCGGAGGCCCAATCCCCCCCCCCCCCATCAACATGGTAGTGGAATTAAATAAAAGACTACCCCAGGAGGGTACCAGCACCCCTGGAGAATCCCTCGCTGAGCATCCACAACCAAACTACTTCACTCCTGAGCGTGGGTGCTCAGGCTGCCCCGCGTATTCTGGGGGGGGGGGGCAAAATTCCGCTCGCGACTAATGCTGCTCGGGGCAAGCGGAGCAATACAACCAAGGCGACCCCTGTCACGCTATCCGTGAATTTTTGCAACATCAGGGGACTTCATTCCAACCTTAACGCTGTCCATTACCATCTAGAGACGGCGAAGCCGGCCTTGCTCTTTTTAACCGAGACTCAGGTGTCCTCTCCGGCTGATACTTCATATCTCTCCTACCCGGGGTACAAATTGCAACACTCCTTTGTGCCCCGGGCTGGAGTTTGCGTATACGTCAGAGAGGACATCTGTTTTCGACGCCTCGGCAGTCTTGAAGGTACGGACCTGTCCATCCTATGGCTGCGCGTAGACAGCGACGACCATCCCCGCGTCTACGGGTGCCTCTATAGGTCCCATAGCGGTAATGCCGACACAGACCGACTCATCGACCACGTTCAAATGGCTGCAGACTCCGTGCTACAACAGGTCCCATCCGCAGAGATCGTGATACTCGGTGATTTTAACGCCCATCACGCTAAATGGCTTGGTTCTCGTTTAACCGATCATGCGGGTAGATCTGTCTATGACTTTGCTTTGGCATATGGTCTAACACAACTGGTTACTTCGCCTACGCGGATCCCAGATGTGGAAGACCATGTACCTTCCCTGGTGGACCTTCTGCTGACCTCTCATCCGGACGGATATCAGGTCTCCGTCGATGCCCCTCTGGGCTCTTCGGACCACTGTCTGATCCGGAGTACGGTGCCACTCACGCTCCAATCGCAGTTGCGATCTGCAGCTCGCCGCCGTGTTTGGCACTATAGGTCAGCTGATTGGGACGGGATGCGGTCTTTTTTTGCATCCTACCCTTGGGGGCGGGTTTGCTTCTCGCCGGAAGATCCCAGCGTTGTTGCCGATTTTGTTGCTGATGTGGTACTTCAGGGTATGGAACTTTTTATTCCATCCTCTGTGGTGCCCATCGGAGGCAGATCCTAGCCATGGTTTGGTCGCTCCTGTAAAATAGCATCACGCTATAAGCAGGAGTGCTACCGGGCCTGGGCTGACGCATTAACGTCTCGGGATGTAAACACCAGCGCAATTAAAAAGAAGTATAATTCCGCCTCCAGGTCCTTCAAAAGCGTCATTGCCAAGGCAAAGTCTGAGCACATCGGCAGAATTGGCGAGAAGCTAGTTCGCCTTCCTTCGGGAACCCGTGCATTCTGGTCTCTCGCCAAGGCTGTCCAAGGGAACTTCTGTCAGCCATCTCTGCACAGAGAGGACGATTCACTGGCCCATACCGCAAAGGAGAAAGCCGATCTGTTGAGCTCTCTTTTTGCGTCCAACTCGACTCTAGATGACGGGGGGAACACACCGCCGACCATCCCGCGATGTGAGTGCTCCATGCCGGATGTGCGGTTTACACAGCGCTCGGTTCGCAAAGCACTCTTCTCCCTGGACGTCAGCAAGTCGAGTGGGCCCGATGGAATCCCTCCCATTGTGCTGAAGACGTGTGCTCCGGAGTTGGCACCGGTTTTAACGCGTCTTTTCCGGTACTCCTACTCCCAAGGCGTAGTCCCGAATTCATGGAAGACAGCTTTGGTCCACCCGATCCCTAAAAAAGGTGACCGCTCAGACCCGTCCAACTACAGGCCTATTGCCATCACCTCCTTGTTCTCCAAAATAATGGAGTCCATTATAAACTGCCAGCTCATGAGGTACCTTGAGGATCACCAGCTGATTAGTGACCGCCAGTATGGTTTTCGTCGAGGTCGATCAGCTGGTGATCTTCTAGTCTATCTGACTCATAGATGGGCGGAGGCAGTAGAGTCCAAGGGGGAGGCATTGGCCGTTAGTTTGGACATAGCGAAGGCCTTCGATCGGGTCTGGCACAAAGCGCTTCTTTCGAAGCTTCCTTCCTATGGGCTTCCCGAGAAATTGTGCAAATGGATCACCAGTTTCCTTGCTGATCGGAGCATCAAGGTCGTAGTAGACGGTGCATGCTCTGATTTCAAGCCTATCAACGCTGGTGTTCCACAAGGCTGCGTGCTATCACCAACGCTGTTTCTCCTGCATATCAATGATATGTTGCTAACTGGTAGCATTCATTGCTATGCAGACGACAGCACTGGTGATGCCTTATATACCAGCCGTGCCAATATTTCTCGGGAAAACGTCGCTGAGTACCGGGACAAACTTGTGTCTGAAGTCGAGTCTTTGCTTAACAAAGTCTCGGATTGGGGCCGACTAAATCTAGTCCAGTTCAATCCCCAGAAGACACAAGTTTGCGCGTTTACCGCTAAAAAGAACCCCTTTGTCGTATCTCCTCAGTTTCAAGGCACTCCCCTTGCTGCCTCAGCTAGTATCGGAATCCTTGGCGTCGACATATCGAATAGTGTGCAGTTTCGTGGTCACTTGGAAGGGAAGGCCAAATTGGCCTCTAAAAAGCTTGGCGTGCTCAGCAGAGCGAGACAGTATTTCATGTCGGCACATCGCTTGCAACTTTACAAAGCGCAAGTTCGGCCCCACATGGAATACTGTTCTCCTCTCTGGGCCGGGGCACCCCAGTGCCAGCTCCTTCCACTTGACCGCATCCAGCGCAGAGCGGTTCGAATCGTCGACGACCGAGTTCTTTCTGATCGGCTCGATACACTGGCACTGCGTAGAGATGTTGCATCTCTTTGCGTATTTTATCGCATCTATCACGGGGAGTGCTCTGAGGAATTGTTCGGACTAATTCCAGCCGCTCAGTTTCACCATCGCACATCGCGACAAAACTCGCGTTTCCATCCATACCATCTGGATAATTGGCGGTCCACCACTGTGCGATTTAGAAGAAGTTTTCTCCCTCGCACAACTTCCTTGTGGAATCAATTACCACCAGCGAATTTTCCGGACCGATACGACTTAGGAACCTTCAAGAAAAGAGCTTACACCTTTCTAAAAGGCCGGCAACGCATCTGCAATTCCCCTGGTGTTGCGGTTGTTCATGGGCGGCGGTAGTCACTTACCATCAGGTGAGCCGCATGCTCGTTTGCCCCCCCTCTTCTATAAAAAAAAAAATTCAAACTACTACTGCATTTATTCATTTCTATTTTAACGATGACATCAGGTCGTCAAACACCTCAGTTCTCCAGTCCCTCCCGTAACCATGGTTGCTGTAAAGTGCCCAAAACATCGGGAATTCGAAAGGTTAAAATTAAACGCAATAAATTCCTTAAAATTAGTTTTATTCCTTATATACATTTTATTCACAGTGAACATGAGGAGCACTACACCCATGAACAGGAGTAGAAAAATGTTCGCCCTGTTGTGGCGGTGAAATAAAATCCACCACCTCATATCGTCCCGTCGTAAGAGGTGACATATGAAAAAAAATAGGCTGACGATAATGAGTTCTACTCATCTTTGCAAGCCTTAATATTTACGGCAGAGTGAAAACAAAAAGTAACATGCCCTAAAACACGAATGAAATAAAAACTGCATATATTGTCCCATGAAAAGTAAAAAAGCAGCAGCTTACATACATGTTACTACTGGGCACAGGCCGCAGAGTTTTTGGCCAAAAAAGTGTTCGCTGCGCTGATTCCAACGCAGGATGAATGTAATGTAAATGTTTCAATTATTTACATCGTTTATTCAGTAGCATTGTATTATTTCATTTTATCAATGACTTCCCATTTTAGTTTATTTAGAAGTAAGTAGGTGGCCAAAACTATACCATCTAGTAATATCAGCAATAGAAGCGAACATTTATTTATTATATCAACAAGGAATAAAGTGATGTCAATTCTCTTAAAATTTCTGTTAAAAATGCGCTATCAGCGCCGGTAGCGGTGAAAAACGATTAATGATATCGTCATATTCGTTTTGTGTTGATTTGTGTTTAGTTATTAATATCTTCAAACGATTTCTATTCATTGATTTAGTCAAGCTATAGTGTCAAGAAATAGTGTTAAATATCATGAAATGACCACACCATTTCACGAAATAATAGACTACTTTATGATATATGATCAATTCTACGATCTGGCCATGACATACATAAAAATCTGTTTAATAAAACTATAATCATAATAAAAATTTTGCAACAATTGCAGACAGACCGGTTTTAATCATTTTACATATATATTAGTAATTGAAATAGATACCTTATCAATTTTCATATTTTTGATATACGTCACCATTATCTATTGAAATTACACTTTTAAAATAAAATAACAAAAATACTAAAAAACTAAACGTAGAGTTTTTTAATAATTTTAAAAATCTAATCTTTTAACCATATAAATGTAAGTTATTTATATTATTTCATTTATTAGTAACTGAAAGCAAAATATACTTCTTTTTCCATTTGATGATAGATGGCGCTGTTTTGAATACCAAATCGGTGTAGTTTTAAATTATTTTACCAAGCTTATAACTATATGTTAAACTTTATTTACAAATATGGTTTTTATTTGAAAAACACCCGTCATCTCGCCTATAACTAAGATATAATAGCTAAATTAACATCTAAAGGAAATAGAATACAGAACCTTCCTTTTTTGAAGTTCCTAATCGGATAAAAAGTACCCTATAAGTTGCCCCGGGTTACTCACTACCTATATACAAAATTTCATGTTAATCGGATCAGTAGTTTTTGCGTGAATCCGGAATACACAGACAGACAGACAAAAATTCTAAAAACCACTAATTTAGCTTCAAAACCCTTTATTTAGTCCCCTGGACTTATTTATTCAAGAATATATTAGAATTACAGACACGACTTTTCTACAGATTTATTATATGTATAGATTAAAAGTATAGTGTAGGCACTATGAAAATGTTCTGCTGTTCGATTAACATTGCGGCACCCATAGCTTCTAATGGTTCCAAAAAAGTTTTCAATAGGGTCTTGGTTGAGGTGCGCATCCAAACAGAAGTAATACTTACTTAGTTTCCAATAATTTTGTAAAAGAATTTGTTCACTAATTAGTGTCCATACCCATTTTTTTATTGTTGATACACTCATGATTGTTTAACATTTTATTTATAAATTTCATGTTATTTAATATAGCTTTTGCTTCTTTCCAAGTGTTCTGAGTTTGACCTTGCTGGTCAGAGAAGAGGCTTTACATATAGTTTTTTCTTTATTGTAGCTAGTGATTATATTCTCTTTGATTGTAGCTGCCATTAACAGAATCGAATACCTTGTCAAAAAAGAGGAGAATTTCGGCAGTTTCTGCATATTCTCTTGGAAGAATGACTTTTTCTGAAAAACAAAAAGCTAATTAATCCATTAATAAACACTTTTATTTTTCAGAGCACAGCAAGCTTTTTGTGACTTTTTCCTTCTTTATTGGTCTATTAAAGTTTACTGCTGGACTTGAGCCTGTCATGCTTGGCAGGCGTCTTGACAATCATAGTTCTAGACGTGAACACCTTTGACGCAGCTTGTCCATCGTCGATTTGGATTTTACGCCTAGCGTAAACGAGATGGTTATACCGCCGACTAAACAGAACTCATGAGATTTTTTGACATATCTCTTATAACGTAACACCCATGGGACGAAATGAGGTGATGGGTTCTCTGTTTTTATTAACATACAATTTTTAAGACTAAATACATAATTTAGTCATGAATACATAAAATACTTAAACTGGACTGATTAAAAGAAAAGAAATATTATTATTATTATTATTCTAATACTTTTATTAATATACTGATATATTACAGTACACTATTATTATAGCGACGATTTTATTCAGCACGGCCTATAACATTAAATAAACAATTAATCATCATCATCATCATCAATACAGACTAAACATAGGCCTCCTGCCTCATCAATAAAAATCACAAAACACGGTCCTTAGCCACCTACATCATATACAGTGGTACCTCGACATAGGAGTGCCCCAACATACGAGTTTTTCGAGATAAGTGCCGGCGAGCGAGTGACTTTTTGCTTTGAGTTACGACTGAAATTCGAGATACCGAGTTTCGGTTTAGCAGGTCGGTAGCACGCGACCGCGCGCTACGCGGATGTCAGTAGAGGAGGGAGTTTGTGTCTCTGGGGAAATCCATGGGTCTAGAGGTGGAAGAGAGAGACGTGAACGAGCTCGTCGAGGAGCACACCCAGGGACTGACGACTGAGGAGATACAAGAGCTACAGACACAGCAGCATACGGAGGTTATGCAAGAAAATGGTTTCGAGGAGTCAGAGGAGGAGTCAACCAATCAACGTTCATCGTAATCAAACACGTGACACACGACACAAGTAACGAACAGTCGTTCAAAGTTCAATATTCAATGTTCCGGGTTCATTTAGCACAAAATTACAAACACGGGAACGAACGCGGCCTCTTCTCGAGTCTCAAAGTTCAGCGTTCCACACAACAAGCTAAAATTCCTTTGTACGATATTAAATACCACGCCCGCAATCAGAACTCAAAATCCGCCTCGTTGACACGTAAAACGATCGAAAATATTCAACACACAAAAGGGCACTTAACGTGACGTTAAAAATCAACATTAACTTCCAAAAACAATTAACCGGGCCACGCCTTCGAAATGGAATGCGAGCGTCAAATTTCAGGCCATCTTTCGACTCGGCGTGCGCACACGAGACCGCGTCACACAAGCAAATTAAATATTGCGAAATGCACTTCAAGATGCAATCACTATACAAATTGACGTAAATTACTTGCAAACGAAGTTACTTTAATCACCAAGCCTCTTGTCACGAAACGTACAAATTAGACATACCAATTCGAGGCGGTCTACACGAAACCCAAATATTCAATAGTAAATTAGACGCGCACAAGTACTCAAATTCTAGGCCATCAAAACCAAAAACCGGACATAAGGACTTATGTCCGCGAGTAAATTGGCAAACGGGACAGGGTCGCGACGGCACTTTGCAAGACCGAATCTCCAACCAAAACCTCGGCCACCCTAGGCACCCCATCAGATCTTACAACCGTAACCACCGCCTCAAAATATCGCCCCAATGTGGGCAAGCCTTCCTGGACATCGCAGCACCTAAATAAGTCCTGTTACTGGACAGAAGTCCGACGACCTCCTTCAAATATCTGTCCGTGCCCCCACAATTCGTTCCGCAATCAGACCGGACCAGGTCCGGCAAACCGCGACGCGATACGAAGCGCCCCAGCATGGCCACAAAGGCTTCAAAGCTGAGGGCACTTACAGGTTCCAAGGGAACGGCTCTGGTGGCGAGTCTTCCCAGTTCGGTTCGCACCCAGGCTCAAAACTGCGTGCTGATTGCCCTGGCAATGCGGACAGGGCCGCTGGTGCGGGCAGTCTCGCTGGAGGTGCCTTTCCAAACACGAGTAGCACCAGCGACGCTTCTTGGCGATAGTTCGCCTCGCCGGAACCGGCTTACTTAATAACTTCGGGCACGACGTCACCTGGTGATCGGATGCTCGACAATAGGAACAGGGGGGCGCCTCTCGCGGGAGCTCCGATCGGCCTTAGGGGGGTTGACGACGACTTGCCTGGCGGATTCCGCCTCTCACTGGGCACGACTCTTAAGTCGTCGAAGGTGCCCGCCGCGTTCTCAATCTGCCGACACTGCTCCTCCAAGAACCGCAGCAGATCCCTGAAGTGCGAAATATAGGAGGCGCCTTCCCCGCCGTACCTCTCCTCAAAATGTATCCGAAGGTCGAGAGGCAGGCGGGACAGCACGATGTGGAGCAACAAAAAGGACCATTCGTCCACCGGTAAATCCAGCCGCCTCAACGCATTACAGGCCACCAAGACTGGATTCACGAGGTCTGGACGTAGTCTGGCCCGGTTCCTAAGCAGCGGGAGGCTTAGAAGCTGCCTAACGTATTCGTCCGCAATTCGCCGGACGTTGGCGTATCTTCCTGCGAGGAGGTCCCGAGCAGTCTGGTAGGCGTCGTCCGACAATTTCAAATGGCCGACGACGCCCAAATAACATAAAATAAAAAACACAATATTACAACGTGTTGTAATTTATTATTTTTATAATGGCATA